AATTATCAAGAGTTCATGAGAGAAGGGGGAATGGAGAGGGAGGGGAAAAATGAGCTGATACCAAGGGCTCAAGTAGAAAAAAATGTTTTGAGAATGATGATGGCAACAGATGTACAGATGTGCTTGACACAATGGATGGATGGATGGATTGTAATAAGCATTGTACGAGCCCCCAATAAAATGATTTTTTTTAAGTGCTGAAAAACAAGGATGTTACTTTGAGGACTAAGTTGGGTCTGACCTAAGCCACGGCATTTTCAATCACATCATATGCATGCAAAAGCTGAACATTGAATATGGAAGACCAAAGAAGAATCGGTGCATTTTAATTATGGTGTTAGTGAAGAATATTGTCAAAAAGTCTGTCTTGGAAAACATACAGCCAGAATGCTCCTTATAGGCAAGGATGGCAAGACTTCATCTCAAGATCTTTGGACATGTTTTCAGGAGACATCCATCCCTGGAGGACATCATACTGGGTAGGATACAGGGGCAGCAAAAAAAAGGAAGGTGCTCAACAAGACAGAGTGACATAGTGGTTGCAACAATAAAATCAAACATAAGAACAATTGTGAGGATGGCAAAGGCCAGGCAGTGTTTCATTCATTCTGTTGTACATCGGGTCACTCTTGAGTTGGAACTGACTCAATGGCACCTAACAGCATCTGTAGCTAAGCATAAGCATAATGGGCAAGGAGACACTAAATTATTGAAATATACATATCATTTTCCTTTCACTACATCCCTGCCAAGATGGAATTAGTGAAGGGGTGAAAGAGGGATAAATGGTATCTGAAATGTTATTGAACTCCGTATAAAGAAAGATGCACAGAGCAATCCATTGTGACAGTAGTATTCGATCCACCATAGGGCCATCTCTGAAGCAAACACTCAGCCATTCAATTTGTTCAATCAGTTCCATCCATTACAAATGAACCTTCCCTGCCATGCCAAGAGATAGGGGCTTGGATTTGGTAACCATGTCTCTCTACCTGCAAAACAAAGCAAAACAGCTTTCTTTCAGTGTAAATATAGAAAGTACACACTTCTTTCTGTTACTTGACTACTCAAAGGTCAGGTACAGTTTTGTAATTGTGGTGTGTAAATGCTGGGGGAAACTCAGAACCATGGAACATTTTTAAAACCATAAGATTTTGTCATACAGCCCCTATATTTTATAGATAAGAAAATAGGCCCAGCTGATAGAATATTTTATGCTTAAAATCTTGTAAAATTGTGTCAGCTAACTGCTTCTTGTTCCCTCAATGCTGGATCCATCTTTTCAAACCTATGCATATAATAGAATAAATGAGTATAAAATTTAGATCGTTGTGACATCTGCTTGGCTAAATGTAGTTTTCATGTTTTCATAAAGGAATGGGTACCTGGCTGGGGAAAATGGATAAGGAAAGGAAGGTTGGAATAAATAGGAAGCTTATAGATGTTGCAGTGGCACGTGGTAGGAGCTCCCATACCTGGGTGGCAACATCTCCTTCTGTCACTAGCACTCAGGTAGATGGGCAGAAGATAAGAGGCTACGGATATGTTTTTTTTTTCTTTTAAAAAGTATTTTTAATTGTAAATTGAGGGAAGGTTTAGAGCAAATCAGTTCCATTGACTAATTCAGATACATTTTGTTTCATATCACTGATTGTAGTCCCCACCATCGAGCACCCGTCATTCTAATTCCACTTCCTCCCTGTGTTTCCTATTTCCATGCCATGTGCTTTCCTAACTCCTTCTGCCCTCTGAACTTTGTCCTTGGGGAAATGCTGCCTTGTTTATTGAATAATCATTTTATTAGGGGCTCATACAACTCATCACAATCTGTACATACGTCATCTGTGTCCAGCACTTTAGTACATATGTTGACTTCATCATTCTTACGATACATGCTTTCCACTTGAGCCCCTGGTGTCAGCTCATTTTATGCGCTAAAAATGCTGGGATCTTACAAGAAATGTCAAGTCCTTTTTGCAGTCACATGTAAAAATCTTACTGTGGTTGTGGAAGAATACTTGTCCATCAGTTAAGGTCATGAATGTCAAGAAACCAACAAATTCCCTATCTTTTTCTTTTATCCTTAGCAGTCAGATTTTAAGACATAGAGAGGCAAAACATGAGTGTGATATATATGTATCTGTGTGTGTGTGAGAGAGAGAGGTGGGTAAAAAGGAATTGCTATTTGGGCTCCAATTTATACATTCATGAATCTATTCAAACAAAATGTCTGAAAAGATACCTGTGTGGTTAGTGAGTGGATGCAGACCAGTCCTCTCATTAATACATTTGCCTTTGTCTCAGGAGGGTGCCTGTTTTTACAAAGGTCCAATCCAAACAGTGGTATCTGCTGAGTCAGTTACATTTGAGGCAGAAAGATCAGCTCAGATGTTTATGGTGATTGTGTTTTTGGATTCCTAAGAGATAATCTGGTAGAGTATCGTGGGTATTTATTATGAAAAGTTGTATTTGAAAGAAATTGAAGACTGCATTGGTGAGAAAGAAGCCAGAGAAATTGGGCTGAGCCATTTCCCCCCCATCATCATAATGCACCTCCTCATTCTTTGACGATAGCAAGGGCTGTCCTACAAGAATTTCATCCTACCATCCTGATCCTGCTCATTCAGAGTTTTTTTTGTTGTTGTTTTCAAAACTCAAAACACATTGAACATGAACACAATTGAAATAGAGCACCTCAAAGATGCTAGAACTGCAGTTTGCCATGGTGTAGCTCGAAGTGTGCTGAATTCTTCGGGGTAGGGTTCAAGAGATGGAAACACCACCTTCAGAAATGCATAGACCTAGATGGAAACCCTGGTGGGGACTGAGCATGATAGTGGGACAGGAGGAAAGTCAAGGGAAATAGAGGAAAGAGCTGGGAAGCAAAGGGCATTTATAGAGGTCTAGATAAAGACATGTACATATGCAATATATTTATATATGAGGATGGGTAAATAGATCTATGTGTCTATA